CATAAAAAAGGCCAGCAAAAGCTGGACCGAAAAGAATAAGGGGAAGAGGACTAAGCATTTATATTATACCTACTATGTGCCAGGCACTATGCAAAATATTTTACAAATATTATCTCATTTGATCCTGGGAAGTTGTTGCTATTATTATCCTTTTTTGACAGGTGAAGAAACTGAAGCAGACAGAGGTTAAGTCACTTGCCCAGGGTCACACAACTAGTAAGTGTCTGAGGCTGGATTTGAACTCAGGTCTTCCTGGCTCCAGGTCCAATGTGCCATCTAGCTGCATGCAAAGAAGCAAGTCCCTACCCTCAAAAAACTTATAATCAGTCTCTTCCCATCTTCTTCTCCCTCTCTTGCCCTCTCCATTCTTTTTATTGACCTGAATCTGGTGATGACATCTATGTAGGGAACTCCCAGTGTTGAAACTGTTCACTGAAGCAGATCAGCAACTCATCTTTAATTCATAGCCTTGGATGCATGACTGCACTCTTTAGTTGACTCAAAGCTGAAGACTAGGAGTTTGAATTCAGAGGTGAAATTGAACTAAAGGCTGAAGGCAATGTTTAGGAATATCTTGATCTTCTCAGGGTAAGACCCATTGAGCATAAAAATATCAGGGGAAAAGCTGTGGATTAATATGTGAAGAGCATAGAGTTGCATCCCTAATACTTTTGCTCAGTGAAATAATTTCACCTACCTGTGCAATACACATAAAAGATTAACTATAAAAGAATAATAATAACCATTCTTCTTGTAGTTCCTTAAGGTTTTACATATTTTATCCCAGCTGAGCATCATAACAATGATGTGAGGTATGTTCTACAGGTATTATTAACCCCATTTTGCAGACAAGAAAACTGAGGTTCAGAGAGGTAAGGTGATTGTCTATAACCAATGTATTAGAGGAAGATCTGATACAGATTTGATATCAACATCTGGTACAAATATAACATTCTACTCATGACACCTCACTGCCTCAAAGATCATCTAATCAAACCCATACCTCAATAGGAATTCCCTCTAACAGAGATTCTTAGCCTGGGGTCCAGTATGTTAATATTTTGATAACTATTTCAATATAACTGTTTTCCTTTGTGATCCTGTGTATTTTATCTTATGCATTTACAAATATTTTTCTGAGAAGGGGTCCATCAGCTTTGCTCATCTGTCCAAGGGCCAAGGACACCCTAAAGGTTAATAACTTCTGCTCTAACACATACCTAACAAGCCACCATCTTGCTTCTACCTAAGGAAGATACAATTCAAATGTATGTAATGCAAAAGGAAACATCAATGTCATTTCTCTACTATTGGACCACATGAGCATGTACTGTCCAGGCACACACATGCATGCCTCCATTCTGAGCATACTTCCTATTAAATGCTTGGTTTTTAGCATCTTCCTCCTACTATTCTAGTGGATGAAGGAAGGCCAATTTCCCTTTTGTACCTATTGCAAACCATTGAAAATAAGCAGAGAGGGTGTGGTGCACTGGATTTAAAAGTTAAAAAGCCTTGCCTTGGGTCTCAGCTCCATGATTTATAATTTTGATGACCAATGTGGCAGGGTGGCCAGAGTTTGGAACCTGTCTTGCCTCAAATATTTACTAGCTGTGTGACCCTGAGCAGGTCACTTTACCTCTGTTTTCCTTAGTTTCCCCAACTGTTAAATGAGGATGTTGTTCATGCTTCATTCTCAAAGAAGACCAAGGACATCAGGAGGGTGATGTCCTAACTTGCAAGTGAATTGGATTGAAGTGAGGCAGAGCTGGGCAAAGTCATCGGCCTCATTCTCCCCTCCAGAGTCATTGGAGTCCAGGGGAAAGACAGAGATCAAGACAGAGATCAAGACTACTGGCCATGGTCTCCTAAAATGGGGATAACAGTACTAACCTTCCACAGTTGTGGTGAGGATCAAAGGAGACAAAAATTGTAAAGTTCTTAGCATGGTGCCTGGCACATAGTAAGTGCTACATAAATGTTAGCTATTATTAGCTATTATTATTATTCACTGTGTGACTGGAGTTAAGTCACTCAAGCTCTCAGGAATTTAGTTCTGATATTGATAAAATGAGGGAGGTACTAGTTGACGTCTAAGGTCTCTCTTCAAGTTCTAAATCTTTGATCCTATAAGCCTGTGATTCTGTGACCACCTAGCCAGTCACCTTGATTCTCCAAATCTCAGTGCCCTGGAGTGTTAACAGTAATATCCGCACAACAACTTTCCCCCTCCCACACACATATACACACACAGGGGTGTTATGAGGTTATATATGTGAAAGCGCTTTACAAAGTACTACATGAACATAATTTTTATTCAATGAGTTTTCTGTTTTAGGAAGTACTTATTATAGTTGAGGACTCTGAGTATTTGGTAGCAAAAACAGCTTAGCATGGAGAGGAAGAGGAGGAGATAGAAGGAAGAGACCCATACTTGGAGACAGGCTGGGGTGTAGGAGGAGGAGGGAGAAAAGGATGCATATCCAAAACATGTCTGTCAAACATATTGATTGAAGGATAATCTGTGAATCCAACTGAAGCTGTAAGAAGGCTGGAGAAGGGAGTAGGGTACTGTATGCTATCATTTTCCAAAGCTGTTTCTAAGATGTGGTAGGGTACTGTATGCTATCATTTTCCAAAGCTGTTTCTAAGATGTGGTAGGGTAGCAGCACAAATAACATGCATTCTTGTATAAGAAAAGTCCCATTTCTGATATTTGTTAGATATAAGTCTTCATCTGGGGGGAGTTTCAGGATTGTAATTTGTGGGGAGTAATGAATTATTGCTACTACCATTTCCAGATTTACAATTTGGAATTTTCTAGCAGAGTAGTTGATTAAAGGGGACGAGATTATGAAGGCGGAATATTCTCTGATTCACTCAAAGTGGGATAACAATGGGGGATAGAAGGGATCTTATCTGTGATGCCAGGTGCCTTGAGCCATCACATCCCAGATTAATTTTTTTTCCTACTGGGAAAACGGGGAGATATTTTCATTCGGCTTTAGAGTTAAAATTATCCTTTATTTTATAAAGGACAATTAATACTTAACAATAATCATGCTAAGAGGTGTGGATATAAATTTTTTCAGTGAATCCTCTCTTAAATTTTCCTGTAAAACAAAACAAAACAAAAGAATGGTCTTGAGTTATTCTCTTAGGTAAGGAATCAAAGTCATCCCAGAAGTGTTTATCTACCCCTTCTTCCCCCACATATTTTGGGATTCTATCTGCATGTAAAATGCTGAATCAGATTCCATGGGGGAGGAGGAAATATATTTCCAATACATAAAGATCCTAACAGAGGAAGAAAGGCCTTACTTCTTAATAGAGCTATGATAATTGTATATAATTCATGATATATGTGTGTGATGGAATACTGATTCATTTACATTGTTCAGCTGAGGAAGGATTTCTATTACAGTTTAAAAATTCAAAAAAGTCTTGAAAACAAAACAAAGCAAAACATATCCCGATACACATAATAAGATGGGGTCATTGAAACCACAAGGTTGGTTGGTTTGTTTGTTGAGTTGTTTCAGTCATTTCTGCCTCTTCATGACCTTTTTTGGGGTTTTCTTGGCAAAAAACATTGGAGTGGCTTGCCATTTCCTTCTCCAGATTACTTTACAGATGAGGAAACTGATGCAAATGGAGTTAAGTGACTTGCCTAGGTTCACACAGCTAGTGAGTGCCTGAGGCCAGATTTTAACTCAGGAAGATGAATCTTCCTAACTCCAGGTCAGGGCTCTATCCCCCATATCACCTTGCTGCTCTGAAACCATATGTTACACACTATGTAATGAATCTTAGCAGTCACTATTTAGCAGGTCCCATGGAATCTTCTGCTTAACAGGTGACTTTCATTCTTTGTTTTTATATCCCCAGGGGTAAGCACAGTGCCTTGCACATAAAAGATATTTAAGAAATGCTTTCATTTACTTCCTTTGCTGGATCATCATCCATAACCTGCCCTGCAATTGTAGATGTGCTCCCATGCTCTCTCCTAGGCATCCCCTCCATACTCTTTCTTTAGTGATTTCATTGGTTCAGCTGTCCTCATACTATAAATATATCCCAGAATTTCACTTCCAGCCTTAGTCTCTGCTGAGTTTCTGTCTGGCGTCACCAGTTAAACTGTTGGATATTTCCTGTTGGATGTCCCTTAGGTGTCCAAAACGCATTATGTTCAAAACAACTTATCTTTCACCACCTCTGACACTTCCACCCAAATCTCAGGGTTTAACCATTCCTTCCAGTTATTCAGGTCCACAACCTTGGAGTTATCCTTAACTTCTCAATTATCACGTATCCTATATATTCAGTCAGTTGCCAAGACTTGTTCTGTGTACCTCCATAGCATCTCTAACATCTGTTTTCTCTCCAGTCACCCAGTCAAGAGATTCATGACTTCGTCACCTCTCACTGGCACTATTGCAGTAGCTAATTGGTCTTCCATCTCAAGTCACACTCTTCTCTAATCCATCCACTACATAACTGTCAAAATGATATCCCTAAAGCACATTCTGATTTCATTTCCCTGCCTAATAAATCCAGTGGATCATCATCTCTAGGATCAAATACACACTTACCTATTTGGCATTGACTTTCACAACCTAGTTCCAACCTACTTACACAGCCACATTCACACATACATATACATCCTTATATATCCTGATTACATATCATTACCTCTTACACTCTTTATGTTCAAGTCAAACTTGATTTACTTGATATTCCCTGTAATATTCCATCTTTAATCTCTGTTGTAGAAGAATTGTCTCAGTACTGTGCTTGGATGAGGAAATTTTTAGCAAGCAGAAAACAAACCTGTAGACATAGAAGCAGGTGTCATAACCATATTCTCCAAACACATAGGGTATGGTTGAGCAAATTACAGTCTTAGGAATTGATTGAGAAGTCAAAGGATGAATCAGGATCAGTTTAGAACTGAAAGGTAAGTGAAGGTCAGCAGGAATGGCAAAAGAGAGTCTCCTTACCTAGAAATGTATAGTTCTCGGGCCACAAGGGTACACTGTGATTGGAACATTCAAAGATCATGTAACACGAGATGAGCAGATGCTTTTCACTGTCTTCCCTAGAGAACATGTGCTTTTTCATGGGAACATATTTCCCCACAGTTTTTCCAGGTTTCGCAATAACTAGTTTACCCACAGGCTTATACAATTTTCCAAAAACAGACCAAAACAAGTAGGGCTAGGGTCCTGATTGCACAATGTGCCTTTGTCCTGATGGTTTCCCCATGCCTGAGATCCATTCCCTTCTCACTTCTGCTCTTAGAATTTCTTGACTGACTCCCCTCAAGTTCCTTGAGAGAAAGGATTGTTTTACTTTTGTGTCTGCATTTCTAGGGCTAGCACAGTACCTGGCGTATAATACATAATAATAATAATAAATACCTGTTGATTGATTATTTAATAATAGTTTATTATTTTGTTTAACTCAAAGTCTTGGAACATATAAAAAGCAAACTACTTCATTAATAGTGAAAATTTCTAGGATTCACAATGTGTGTGTGGATTTGGAGTGAGAGGAATTAGGGATTTAAGCCTCTGCCACTTTTTAAATGTATGAGCCCCAGGTTCTTCATTTACAAAATAAGGGGATTGGGACAGGTGACCTCTAAGACACTATCCAGCTCTAAATGGAGATTTGATTTTGAGCCTCACCCACTCCAGATAAATTGATGTAGGATATCCATTCCAGGATAAGTCATGGAGGAGGAAGTATTGATGTAGTAACAATATTAACAGTGATTATCTATTTACCAAGGATGAACATCTCATTGGATGCACTTGTAAAATGGGTCATGCCCTTGAAGGTTTTAAGGAGCTAAGCTCAATAATGAGCAATTGGTGAACTTAAAGAGAGTTAAAGAGAAAGCCAAGAATTGAGGAAAACAATCCCTGTATTCCTCTTGGGTAGATGGGTCAAGTGGGTGGGGAGAGGGTACTTCTCTCCTCTGGAGTTGTCACTAAGTTCCCCTATGTGGGAAGGTTGTTCAGCTGGGGTCCTAAAGGTTTACAATCTCCAAAGTCCTACTCTTCCTCAAATCTTCCCTTCTTTGTTGTCAGGGACCATGAATCAATCTCAGGATCTTTTTAATTGGACATTTGCCACTGTAGCGGAGTAAAGAGCTTAGTTCTTCCCTGACTGCTGGCATTCTCTTGGACTGTCTCCAAGCCTTCAGAATCTTGCTATCTTCACGACTTAGCTATGTTAAAAACCCCAAGGGCAGGTGGCCAATTTTTCGCCCAGCCAATCAGGTCATTTCTTTTGACTTAATCAGTATGTTCTTCAAGTTTCCATTAAAGAACCAGTGGGTATTTGTGCCACATCAAGATTATCTTTGATTATATCTCGTACTTCATCTGAGCTGAGTTAGCAAGGGAGGGTTGTGATAAACCAAATATTCCCTTTTCTATATGACAATATGATTATCTTAAGGATAAAATAGCCAGGTAAGAAGGCAACTATTCAACCAAGAATCAGTTTCATTAATTAATCCAACAGAGGATTATAGTGATTCTCACTGTTTTTAGGATCTGTCAGCCATAGGATACCTCATGGGGTCTCCACCCACAGTTTAAGAAGTGCTAAAGGGGTCACTAGTGGAAAAAGTTTAAGAAGCCCTGGGATAAAGCACAAGGGCTCACAAACTCCACTGGCGTTGCCTCTTGGAGAAAAGAGAAGCTTCTCTAGCGTTTAAGCCCTTCACAATCTGGCTCTAACAAGTTCAGCTGTAGTGGTTTAATCATTGAACTTGGAGTTAGAAAGACCTGAGTACAAATCCTATTTCATAAACTGACTAGCCTCCCTTTTGTCATCTGTAAAACAGAATCATAATTTACAGTATTAATTTAAGGATCAAATGTACACACATGTATATATACATGCATGTGTGCATAACTATGTATATGTATATTTGTAAAGCATTTTACATACCTTAAAGTGCTATCTGCTATTATTTTGTTTTCAGATTTACTTTACTCTCTGTCATCTAGACAAGCTGGCCCAACTTGTGGCTACTTCACGCTACAGGCTTTCTCCCTCTCCCCCCACCCCACATTCCTCTGAGGCAGAGGCTGTTTTCTCTTCCCTGCCCTCCTCCTCCCAATCAAGGCACTCTCTCCTTATTCTCGCTCTTAGAATTCCTCTCTTGTATCAAAGCCCTCCCCAAGTGCTACTTCCTACAGAAGTTCTGATCCCGCTAGCTGCCAGTGATTTCACTCCATTACCTCGAATTTATTGTGTATCTATTCAATCCGTGGTAAGGCAGCTTGGCATAGTGAATGCAGAACTGACCTCAAAATGAGAAAGGTCTGACTTTAAGTCCCATCTCTGACACGGACCGGTTCTATGACCCTGGACAAATCCCACCGTGCCCCCAGACTTCACTAATGAGACTGTCAGTTGCAGAGTAGAAGGGGATACACATCCGTGGGAGGGAATTCTTCAGTGGGAATTCCTTGCGCAGGTGAAATACCAGGTATATTTAAAAATCTGGTATGTACAGCACTTGTATGAATAGCTGTCGTTTCCCCTGTCAGAATCCCTCCGTCTCCCTAGCTCAGTATGTATGGGCACATAATTGGTAATTAGGAAATGCTTGATTCATTAATAAAACAGTAATGAACTTTATAAAGAAAAATAATTCATTCAGAATCATGAAGGCTGGCTCTGCTCTTTACAACTCACTACAGCAGAAGCTTCATTTAAGTCATTTATTATACACAAAGTTAAGTTTTATTGCTTCTTGTAATCACAGGTTTGGAGAAGAGGGCTCAGGAAAGTTAAGCTCTTGGAATTTAAAGACTGAAGGGACCTAAGAGATTATCCATACCTAGACAAAGCAAGTTTTAAGGGACTGCACACAAAAGTGCTCTGCCTTATGCTACAGGCAACACAAGCCAAAGTCAAACATAGGTTGCTGTTGGGGAGTAGCCAATAGGTAAGGTCTTCTCACAGATAGTATTACTTTCCTTAAAGCCCCGTCCATTTTTCTCCAAGGCTCTTTCCAGTATTTTAACAAATTGTCTTTGCCCCCTCCTTCTTACTCAGCAGGTGAGAAAACCTGGAGAAATAGGCATTGCGGAGCAGGATTTGTTTGATTTGGATTGGTTAGATAAAGTTGGAGATCACGGGGGGGGGGGCAGGGGGCACAAGGCAGATTCATGTGGTAGCCCACTCCTTTCCTCCGCTTAATCAAATTTTCAACGCTGAAAATTTGATTTATGGACAAAAGCCTGCCCATTGGTCTCTGCCCTGTACAACTGAGGAAGTTTTACATTGTTTTTGTTTTATTTTCCAAATCTGGGGAATCTGCATGGAGGAGAGTAGTTTCAAATTTCTTTTGAAGTTTTGTGCTGGAACTCAGATTTTAACAGATTTATCTGAAGTGTTTCCAGCTGGCAGAATGTTGCCTACCCAGATCACAGTATCCGTTTATTTTCAGTTAACTGTTTTGATACAGGGGAGAATTCGCTTCCAAGGTGGGGGAACTGAGCAGCTGAATGCAGAAGAGACTCTATTTAAAAAAAAAAAAAAAAGGCATCAATATTACTAACGAACGATGAAATAGATCTTGATAGTTACCGATTTTTTTTAAAGCTTAAAAAAATACTCCTGTTTATTCCTCTTTGGATCCAGCTCAGCTTTTCTCCCCAACTTCAGAATCCAGTCTGCTACTCTCCCTGCCCTCCCCCCGCCCCAACAAAACAAAACCACTCAACTTTAGGAGTTTGTCAGTCTCCCAGGTCCCACAAAGTAGAAAGCCCAGACTAGCGGTTTTGCCCCCCACCCCCCTCCCCGGACGTCAGTGGACGCCTTGAAGCGGTCGGACCGAACCTGGGCAACTGCTCTAACAGTTAGCCAGCCCATTCTCTCCCCACCTCCCCAGACTTCAGACTTTGACCTTGGGGTTCGGGGCAGGCATGAAGCCCTCCTGGCTGCAGTGTCGGAAGGTCACGGGCGCGGGGGGGCTCGGGGCTCCCCTGCAAGGCTCGGCTGCGGCTCGGGGAGCAGCCCCAGCGCGTCAGGCTTACCTGGCCCCCGCGCCCCGGGGCCCTCGCGGCATTGGTGGGGGCCACCGCTCTCTGTCCTCGGGCGGCGGTGCCAGTGAGTATAAGAAACACTTCGCTGCCTCAGTGTCCGACCCCGAGAGGTTCTGGGGGAAAGCCGCGGAGCAGATCAGCTGGTACAAGCCCTGGACCAAAACGCTGGAGAACAGCCACCCAACAGCCACGAGTTGGTGAGTGACTCCCTCGTGGACTGGAACCCGAGCCCGCAGCAGGCGGAATCGGCCTCAGCTGGCCCAGCTGGGGCCAGTCAAGAGCTGAGTAACGCCCTGGCCCTGCAGTTAGAAGACTTGGGTTCGAATACTGTCTCTGATGCTTAAAATGGGTTCGATCAGGGGCCAGTCTCTGGACCTCAGTTTCCTCATTTGTAAAATCAGAGGGTTGACCTAGCTGGTCTCTGAAGTGCCTTCTAGCACTCATCCAGGAGCCTATGGAAATGTGTCATATAAAGGCCTGGCGGATAGTGCTACAGTACAGTACGTGTACTATTATATTCTCTTTGAGGTAAAATGGCTAGAGAGATGGGGGCATGCCTCAAACTTGAATTTTAGCTGGGCCCAAACACATTCCCAACTCCTTTAGCTTATTTTCACCTCAGAGTCACCCCCGCCCCCCAGTAACCCATTTGGGAAACAGGGTCTTAAGCTGGAAACAATGAACTTATTTTTTCGTGTGTATGTTTGTATCATATGTGTGTGTGCATGTGTATGTATGTATATATATATACACACATACACACATATATACACACATATATAACATATACATGTGTGTGTTTATAGATACATATGAAAAAGTTCATTCACTCCCTACTTCTTTGTAATCCTTCTATTTTATGCATTTAAAAAAAGCAGTCTAAGAAAGGATCCATCGAGTTCTGACTGCCAAAGGGGTGCAAGACACAAAAATGGTTAAGAACTCCTGATTTAGGCTCACACAGTTTGAGAGCTTTAAGGGATCACCCAGTCCAAACTCTTTCATTTTACAAGTGAGGAAACTGAGGCCTATTCCTGCCTGCAGGGCAAGCACAGGACCTGGGATCTCCTGAGGTCTCCAGAGACACAGCTGAGAGTTCTTTGTTCTTTTATTTTGAGAGGTCAAACGGTGACCTAATAAACTATTTCCTTTTCTTTTTTAAAATTAAGCTGCTGACATTTTCCAGGGCTCGTGAGTAACAAAATATTCTCTCTTTAAAGTAAAAAGGACCTTTCTGACACTCTTTTTTCTTATTAGAAACATATTTTGCCCTTTCTGGATGAGTCATTTCATGGCGCATTGTCTAAGTCTTCTTTATTGCCGAGGATTTTGTTAATCAGCTTTTTACATATTCGTAGAAGGAACCCAGGCCTGTGATTTCACCAGAGTGGAAACCCTCTTCAACAATACTGATCATCATTTGCCTCTAATTTGGAGAAATTTTTGTGGTACGGTTAAGAACTTGAAACTAGGTCTTCCTGGCCCCAGTACCCAGCCTCTAGCCACTATGCCAAGTTGTCATTCTTAAAAACAAATGTTGGTGAAATCAAGAAGAGATTTGGCTGTACTTACTCAATTTGTGTTGATGTGATGCAGACAGCACTAAGATGAAAAACTGGCATAAAGTATTGCTTTCAGAATATACCCATGCAAGGTGTCCCAAAAGCATTAGTGCTGTTTTTCACTAGGTGGTGAAGTCAACAGAGGCTTGGATTTAGATTCTGGAAGACCTGAGTGTTAATCCTTCCTCAAATACTCACTGTCTTTGAATAGCTGAAAACTGATCAAAGACTTTGGGGACAGCCTGGATTTGTACCAAGAAACTTGGTTTAGGTTGGGGTAGGGTTGGAAGATGCCATCCCTTTGGGAGTATATATTTATTTAGTTCATTTATATTAAAAGATATGCTCCAAACTTAAGTTTAGGTTTTACCAGTTGATATGTATACATGTATATTCATGATGACTGGTGACTTCCCATCCCCCACCATATGGGAGGGGACCTCAGCCTAATTTTTTTTTTTTTAAAGAATGTTTAAGGTGAACAAGGACAGTTGGCAGGTTTAGGACAGTGCATCTTGGAATCAGAAACCAGACTGGAGATGGACCACGTAAAGCTGCTTGGAGTTGTCTGTTATAAGAAAATATACTAGCGCTGAGCCTTGAATGTCTAGCTGCAATTTGGAAAAAATGAAACAAAAAGAACAAAAAAAAAATCTAGCAGCAACCTTGGGGAAAACCCAGAATACCTCACAATATGGAGATATTTGTTGATACATTGTTGAATCAAAGGCCCCATGGGCTAAATGACTCTAGAGAGTTTCATGGAAAAACCCATTACGTCATTAGTTTTCTAACTCCAATATAACAAGGGACATTTAGCACTGCTAGTAATCCTTTTGATCACAGAGCAGTAATGCATGGCTTTTCCCACCCAGGAATTAGACACCAATAATCCATCATTCTGGCTACTTTCACCAGAAACTGAAATCAGTCCTGCAATCCCTAGTGTGTTTATCCCGTTTGTTGAACTGAGCATCCTAACCAGCTCACTTGTCCAGGCACACATACCAACCATTAATTAGTTGTTCTTTCTATCTAATTCTTGTATCATATTTTAGACTTTCCCTATGAGATATGCCAGTGGGGTTGAACTCAAATAGAAATTGGGGACAGAGGGGGAAGGCAACTAAACCTTGGGGCAGCTAGGTGTTGAAATGGATAGAGCAAGGGGCCTGGAGTCAGGAAAACCTAAACCTATCTTCCTGTGTTCAAATCTGGCCTCAGACACATATTAGACTAACTGTATAACCCTGGGCAAGTCACATAACCATGTTTGCCTCAATTTCCTCATCTGTAAAATGAGCTGGAGAAGCAAATGACAAATTACTCCAGTATCTCTGCCAAGGAAACTCTAGATGGGGTCATGAAGAGTCAGACATGACTGAAAAAAAAATAACTAAACAACAAACCCTACTGAAAGATACCTGTGGGCTGTATTGTGACTTAAACCACAAATTAACACTATCTATGTTATGTTGTATTTTTATTTGTTTTGTTAAATATTTCCCAGTTACATTTTAATCTGGTTGTGGCTGCATTTGAGAGTGTTTTGAGGTTGAGTTTGATACCTCTGAGCTTGATTAACTTTGAAGATCCCATCCTACAGATTTGAGCTAATAATTAATTTGTACTAACGGTGTTTATAAGCAAATTACTAGAAATTCCCTATGTAAACACAGATCTTTGGAGGGTGATGAAAGCCTACTCAACATTTAAAAGACTTAAAAGAAAAAAAAATATTTACCAAATATTGACCACATTGTAGACTGTATGTAGCATTATGAAGAATTCAAAGCTGTTATCCTAGAGTTTACCATCTATTTGGTGAGGCAAGATATACACAATCACAATTAAATAGTAATATGTCAATACAGGACTAAGTATGACCTTGATAAGTGACTTCTCTGGGCCTGGGTTCCCTTATCAGTGGAGTAGGGGTGGGGGAGGAAAGGGGAAGGATTAGGTTTGGACTAGAATTATCCATTAGGTTTCATTTATTTTGGATGCATATAAAAATTAAGTAATTATGTAAGACATCATCATATAAATAAAACCTTAGGCAAGGTATTTTCTCTCTCTGGGAGTTATTGTCCTCATTTATGGAATGAGAAGGTTCAATCAGGTGTTTCTCTGCTAATAGAATGAAACTCCTTGGGGATAAGGACTGTTGGATTTTTAATTTTGCAGCTTCAGTGCTCAACACATAGTAGGGATTGTTCATCAGTTAGCTGTTCTCTAAGGTCTTTTCTAGCTATAATATTCCATATTTTTTCATATATTATGCTGACAAGTGTATAGATGTTTTATAGGAAGCCATAGAAGTACATTACCATTGTGCTCCAGTCAGGAAGAAAGGTTTTATGAGATTCCGTTCTCAAGGGTGGTATTAGAAGCCTTTTAGAGGCATTTATGGTTCCCTTTGCCTCCCTTCCACCCCTCCTTTGGATTCTTCATGTAAAACTCTAATTCAAATGGCACAGAGAAGGGAGAATATGCTTCTAGTACAGAAAGATTCTGACTGGTTAGTCAGTAAATAAGCATGTTTAAAGCATCCACTATATGTGAGGCCTGTGTCAAGCAGTGGGGATACAAAGACAGACAAAAGACAGAAACTCCCAATCTTATGGGGTTGACAATATGCAAACGAGGAAGTAAAAACAAGCTATAGCCAGCATGAATAAGAAATGGTAAACAGAGGAGAGGTGAGATTGAAGAGGGTTTGTAAAAGGCTTTCTATAGGAAGCCTTTCTATAGTCTTCCCTGAGACTGGAAAGAAGCCAGGAGGCATATATATGTATGTATATATGTATATATGTATGTATATATGTATGTATGTATGTATATGAATAGATGTATTCATATAGCTACATGTAAATATGTATATGTATATATTTTCTATGACAGGCAGTATCAATTCATTTGCATTCTTCAAAGTGAGAAAGGTTAGCATTTGCAGTTACAAAATTCTAAAAAGCAAAATCATATCCATATATATATATACACACACACACATACATACATACACATATTCATACATGCATACATAATCAGAAGGGGTCAAGAAAGAACAAGAGAGACACTAGGAAATAAATCATAGTAGTGACACGTCAAAAGACCCTACAAAAGGCTATTAATATCCAGAGGAAGAGTTGGACTTTATACCATAGGTAGAGTGATAGCCAGGGAAGGCCACTGAACATGGCAGTGAAAGTAATCTTTTTTTTCTTGTTCAACACTTTCTTTTATTGATAAGGAAACTGAGGCTAATAACACTAATAAATAAAAATAGCAATAAATGTTTATTAATAGGAAGACCAGAATTTAAGAATACTTAGGAGGACTGTTTATCAATTGACACGATGCCATTTTATCTTATCCATAAGGCAAAGAAAATAGAGATAGTAGGGTGAGAAATTTTATTTCAAAGTAAAATCATAAAAAAAAATTACATCAATTGATGTACCTGGTCCTTCTAGTGTTAAGTGTTTACTATGTACAGGTCAGTGTCCTATAAATTATATTATTTTTATCTGAAAAAAGTATGCAAGATGGATTAGAGAGAGATGGAACATAGAGTCAGAAAAACTAGTCATCCTACAGCAGGAATCCAAGTGTAAGGAAATTAGGGTTGTGAT